ACTTAGTGAACCAATTCGACAATATGCCCATAAAATTCCTTCTTTGGAAAATTAATGCCGCAAAATTTACTATTGCTCATTCGAATTTTAGGAGAAACAAGTGAAAGAAAATCTACAACATTAACTACGTGTAACGCCTTCCTAATTTCTAATCAATTACGTCTTTTGTCCCATGTTGGCTGGTCGCACAGAGGTCTTTAACAAATTCAAGGACAGTGAAGGCAAATTCAGGGAATCGCTCATCACAGATGTGCGCGGATTATTGACCCTATATGAAGCTTGCCATTTAAGGTGCCATGGCGATGATATTTTGGAGGAAGCACTTCCTTTTGCTATAACTCAACTTGAATCAATTGATGAAATGAAAGTAAGCAATAGTATTGCGAAACAAGTGAGTTGTGCCCTCAATCAGCCACTTCGCAAGGGGCTGCCAAGACTCGAGGCAAGGAATTATATATCACTCTACCAAGAAGAGCCTTCACATGACAAGGTCTTGCTCGCCTTGGCTAAGCTAGATTTCAACTTACTGCAAGAGCAACACCAGAAGGAAGCAACACCAGAAGGAACTCGGCAAGATTACAAGGTCAACTAACTTCACGTGATAGTATAATCTAAAATTAGCTTATAGATTGTGTTTTCCAAAGGTTTACTCGTCTAGTTTCAATTTACCCTGCTAATTAGTGCTTTTGAAAGTCCTTTACAAGTGAAAAAGTGAGTTTGAACTATGCGAATTCATCGGGCTAACGTACTTTCAATAACGCTCATCTTTGTTTTATCATAGGTGGTGGAAGGATATAGATGTTGCGAGGAAGTTCCCATTCTCTAGAGACAGGATTGTGGAGTTGTTCTTTTGGATATCGGGAGTATATTTCCGGCCGGAGTTTGCCGAGGCCAGATATATACTAACCAGAGTGATCGCCCCGATTTCCATTCTCGACGATATCTATGACGTCTATGGCACGTTAGAAGAACTCGTATCCTTCACTGAAGCAATTGAGAAGTACGTAATCCGCATTCTCTTTCTCAAACTTCTGAATTTGATCGAGTATGTGTAGAGTAAGTGTGTAATTTTCAAGGACTCGAATTCAGGTGGAGTGTTGATGCCATGGATGGACTACCGGAGTATATGCAAGCTTATTATAAGGTGCTTCTCGATCTGTATGATGAAATTGGGAATGAACTGGCCACGAAAGGAAGATCATATCGCCTTGTCTATGCAAAAGAAGCCGTAAGCATCATCGGCACCCTTTATATGCACCCAATTCAATTTTTCTCGGGAACCCAACATTCTTGTTTACGTTTAATTTCTCAGATGAAGAAGCAAGCAAGAGGGTACTTTGACGAAGCCAAATGGTTCCATACTGGCTACACACCAACGATGGAGGAATACATGTCCCTTGCATTATTAACGACCGGCTATGAAGAGATAGCGATCACATCGCTTGTAGGAATGGGCGATGTGGTCACAAGAGATGCTTTTGAATGGTTGCTCGGCGACTGCAAGATCTTGAAGGCTTCACAAACCATATGTAGGTTCATGGATGACATTGCTTCTCACCAGGTATAATAGAAACGTAATTATCCTCCAATAATCTAATGAAATTAGATCAACCACTACTCAATCGGAAACGCTGTTGACCTAATCACACCAATTTTATTGATATACAGTTGGAGCAAAAGAGGGGGCACGTAGCATCTTCGGTGGAGTTGTTGATGAAAGAAAATGGCATCTCGGAGCAGGAAGCTGAGGAGGAACTCCAGAAACGAGTTGTTGATGCGTAGAAGGACATCAATGACGAGTTTCTTCGTCTGACCGCGGTCCCAGCACCGGTTCTCATGCGAATTCTCAATCTCTCGCGGGTTATCAATGTTGTATACACCAATGGAGATCATTACACCCATTCGAAGACCAAGGTCAAAGATCATATCATATCGCTCTATGTTAGTCCCCTGCTGATTTGAAGTTTGAACTAAACATCGTCACACTGATGTGGTATTGAAAATAAAGGGTCTATCAACCATGCCTCTGAACTCTCTATTTTTCTTGGATGCATGAGGGAAAATATCATTACTAGTATGTACTTTCAAAATTGATTTGCATGATAAAACTCATAATTTCCCTTTTCTCGTCTTATATTCCATGGATCTTATGATTCGTAATACTTCATCCCGTAATTATCCTCACGTATAATATCTTATCTATTACATATTCTTTGTAACTTTTATTGAGAGGACAAAAGTTCATTTATGGTAGTACGTTTCTCTGAGTTTCATGGTTCATAATTGTTTCGCCAAAATTGCTCTCGCGACGAAATATCTTTCACTGAAATGAAACCTGGCAGTGGTGCGAGTTGTAGTTCAACTATTAGATTAGTGTAATTACGTGGAAAATCGTCCCAGTAAATTATGTTTCCACTCTGCCATTGAGGTAATAACACTATAAGTACCCGAATTTTTGTCCATGGAGGTAATATTATTTAACCATAATATGTACATGCTGGGGATTGTGGACAAATATACCAAAAAGGAGAAGTTTTTCTAGGATATTGGTCCGAGATTATACAATAGAAAATCTATTTGCATCAATACTAGTTCACTATTGTTGACGAAAACTCATATCCGAACCAAAAATAATTGGAGAGTCATCGAGATTGCTCTATGGTTCCACGCTCGACCACAAAATGCGCGGACGGGGTCGGGATGGAATGCTGAATTTACGCAAATCCAAGTGCGAGGAAATTTAATGATAATAACTTCAAAAGGTCAAATGAATATAAGAAAACCTAACTAACATGGCCCTGTTGTGGTCAACGTAGTCAACAACGACTACCACAGTAGCTACGGTCTAAGTTTCGACAGTCTTAACAGAGAGCACTACAAAAAAATATGAATTTTGCGACGGAAATTTGCGACGAAAATTTTTCGTCGCTAATTTGCGACAAACTTTGCGACGGATTTCTAATTCCGTCGCAAATTAGCGACGAAAATTTGCGACGGATCAATTTTCCGTCACAAATTAGCGACGGAAAATAAATCCGTCGTAAATTCCGTCGCAAATTTGCGACGGAAAATAAATCCGTCGCAAAATTCGTCACAAATTAGCGACGGAAAAATTCCGTCGCAAATTTGCGACGGAAAATAAATCCGTCGCAAAATTCGTCGCAAATTTGAGACGGAAAATAAATCCGTCGCAAAATTCGTCGCAAATTTGAGACGGAAAATAAATCCGTCGCAAAATTCGTCGCAAATTTGCGACGGAAAATTTTCGTCGCTAATTCCGTCGCAAATTAGTGACGACTAATTTTCCGTCGCAAATTTGCGACAAATTTTGTGACGGATTTATTTTCCGTCGCTAATTTGTGCAACAAAATTTACCATTTTGCGATGAAAGTAGAGACGAATTGGATGATTGTCACAAGTTCAAATTCAAAAGAGATTGGACGATTTGCTACACGTCCAATTCTAAGAGAGATTAGATATTACAAATTCAAATTAGATAAGAACATCTATTATAAACTCAAGATATTAGATAATCTCTTAAAATGTTCTCGTCCCAAATAAGCTTTTTTAGATTCGATAGGTGCAAATCTTATCTTCTTCTTTTTTTCAAGACTTAGATATAGATAACGCAGATATCTATTTAGTTGAATATGGCGGTTTCCTCCGCACGTAGCTCTTATGTATGCGTAAATATATGGGTAAATAAATTATAGCAATTTTCAAATAGATCTGAATCGAGTGGATGTATGAAATGTAAAGTCAATATATCTATATGGGGATATCTATAGGAGATCATATAAAAGAGATATTCTTATTTAGACCTAACCAGTTTGATCTAACCAATTAGATGAATTATTTCTAAAGGGTTACATCCGAATGATGAGTGAATAGAGGACATGCATTCCATTAGAGAAATATTTAGAAGATTCCCTATATTTCGTTTAATTGATTGTAATTGATATTTTCCCTTTTAGATAGTCATCCTATAAAACCGATAAATAGGTTCGTGTACTCTTCATTTGACAATGATATATATATATATATATTGCTCTTAATTTTTTTTATCACATTCTTGACTTGGTATCAGAGCCCTATTGTTATTTGAGAAAGCGTCAATCGAGTCTGTTTGTAACAACGACATCCACATCAGTCATGTTTCTCCACAGTGCTCGTAATGCTAGTCACATCGGCCCATTTCGCAACAACCTCCCGTGGTTGTTTGACATTCCTCCGCTGCTCTAATGAAAAAAAAAAAATCACCAAACTTGCCGCCCTTAGATGAATTAGATCATGACATTTACTAATTCGTCAAATATGAGTAATGTGTCATTGTAAGAAGCATATCTACTCAAAGTTCCGATGGAATTAGCGACGGATTCGAAAAATTGGTCGGTATAAACATTTCCGTCGGTAATTCCGTTGCAAATTAGCGACGGATTTGAAAAAATGGGCACCATGTGCCGCGAAGATCACTTCCGTCGCAAATTAGCGACGGAAAATAAATCCGTTGCAAGATTTAGAAAATGCTCTTTATTTTTGGAATCTGTCCCAAAATCAGTCGCAAATTTATGACGGAAAAATAAGTCCGTCGCAAATTTGCGACGGAAAAATAAGTCCGTCGCAAAAATTTGCGACGAAAAAAAAAATCCATCGCAAAAATTTGCGACGGAAACAAAATCCGTCGCAATTTTGCGACGGAAACAAAATTTTTGCGACGGAAACAAAATCCGTCGCAAAAATTTGCGACGGAAACAAAATCCGTCGCAAAAATTTGCGACGAACTGAAAAGGTTCGTCGCTAAAATTTGCGACGAAATATGAAGTTCGTCGCAAATTTAATTAAAAAAAGTGCGCCCCAAAGCCCCGCCCTTACCCCCAATTTCTCTCTCTCTCGCTCACTGTTCTCCCTCTCTCTCCCTCTTCTCGCTTCTGCTTCTTCCCTCTCCCCCACACCCCCAAACCTCTCGCGCTCGCGCTTCCTCCCGCGACTCCTCCTCGCCCATGGCCTCCGGAGCCCTAGAGGCCGCGGAGCCCGAAGGGGCGGCGGCTCCTCCCCCCGTCGAGGGCAAGGAGGAGGAGCTCCCCGAGAAATCAGAGGTGGAGGAGGCAGATCAAGAGGACCGAGAGATCGCCGCTCCGGAGGAGGAGGAGGCCGAGGCTTCCGACGAGGAGGCCTCGGCCGAAGATGACGACGGGGACGACGACGCCCCCCCGAAAGGGAAGGAGAGCGAGGAGAATCCGAAAGGAGGGAGCTCCGTGGAGAAACAGGGCGTGCCCAAGAGGAGGAGGAAATCGAGCGCGGCGAAGAATAAGCAGAGCTCTCATTTCAGCCTCCAGCCACACCGTCTCGGCGCGCACATGGACGGAGCAAGCTCTCCACCGTCTCGGCTGCCGCGACCTGCTCACCCCTCAGCTCGTCGCCCGCGTGATCGACCCTTTCCTGATCCCCCACCTCTCGCTCGCCCTCGGCTTCTTCGACTGGGCCTCCCAGCAGCCCGGCTTCGCTCACGACCCCCTCACGTACCGCTCCGTCCTCAAGTCCCTCTCCGCTTCCCGACAGTCCAACGCCGTCGAGGCCCTGTTGAAGCGGGTCAGGGCCCGCGGGATCAGCCTCGACGCCTCGGCATACGGGCACGTCATCGCCTGTTTCGTCAGGAACAAGAGGACCCACGACGGGTTTTTGGTTTTCAGCGAGATTGGTTCGTTAGTTGGGGACGTTGGGCCCGACGTGTGTAACTTGCTTCTGGCTGCCCTCGCGTCTGATGGGTATATCGATAATGCAAGGAAGGTGTTCGATGAAATGATGCAGTGGGGTGTTCGTTTGAGCACTTTGGGATTGGGCGTGTTCTTGTGGAAGTTTTGTGGTAATGGGGAAATTTCCGAGGTTCTGAGCGCGTTAGATGAAGTTAGGAGGCGTAATGCAGGGATTAACGGGTCAGTTATTGCCGTTTTGGTAGTTCATGGTCTTTGTCAAGCTTCAAGGGTATCAGAGGCTCTTTGGGTGCTGGACGAGCTGAGAAGTAGAAGCTGCAAACCTGATTTTATGGCGTATAGAATTGTTGCGGAAGCTTTTCGAGAAATGGGTGATGTGGTGCAGAAAGAGAGAGTTTTGAAGTTGAAGCGGAAGTTAGGAGTAGCTCCGAGGGCGAATGACTATAAAGAGTTTTTATTTACTCTGATTTCTGAAAGACTAATGAAGGAAGCCTCAGAGTTGGGTGAAGTCATCGTTAGTGGGGACTTTCCCCTGGAGGATGATATCCTCAATGCATTGATCGGAACAATCTCAGCTGATGATCCCCAATCAGCTATCGCCTTCTTTAGGTTCATGATTAAGAAGGGAAAGTTCCCGACCCTTTTGACATTGAGCAATTTGTGTAGGAACTTATGCAAGCACAACCAAACTGATGTACTGATGCAGGTGTATCAAGTCTTGGATTCTGGTGGTTATTTTGCTGATGCGGAGAGTTACACTGTGATGGTCTCATTTTTATGCAGGGCTGGAAAAGTAAGAGAAACTTATGGAATCCTTCAGGTGATGAAGAAGAAAGGGTTGGGCCCAGATGTGGTTGGCTATAATTCTGTTCTGGAAGCATGTTGTTGGGAAGATCTTATACGTCCAGCAAAAAGGCTGTGGGATGAGATGTTTTCAAGTGGGTATTCTGGAGATTTTAGAACATATACTATCTTGATCAAGAAGTTCTCTGAAATAGGGCAAGTTGAAGAGGCGAGGAGGCTGTTTTACCACATGTTGGAGAACGGGTTGGAACCAGATTCCTCAATCTACAAATCTCTCATAGAAGGGCTTTGTCAAGAAGCAAACTTTGAAGTTGCCTTTAATATTTTCGATAAGTGTATTGAACAGGATCCAACTCTTGCCAGTAGTGTCCTCAGTGCATTCATCCTGTGTCTCTGCAGAAAAGGTAAAGTTTTGACGAGCTCGGTAAATACTGAATTTGAGTATTCTTGATCTTATATAATTGCACCAACAGATAATGTCTTGGTTCTATGTCTTGACATGCTTGATGCAGGTGATTTTGTTACCGCTTCAAAGTTGCTCCAACGTTTCAATTGTGATTTGGGCAATTTAGACTCCCTTGTCACTTTCCTGAAATACTTAAATGATGCGGACGAGGTGAGACTTGCCCTTGAACACATGAAATGGATTAGGGAAAACTCTTCTCTGATGATGAATCGTATTTCATCAGAACTTGTATTCCTAGTTTCTTCTGCGTCTAAATCGGAACCAATCTTGAACTGGCTTGACATGGAGAAAGTTAGAAGGTTTGGCTGCTAGACTTGGTGGAGCCAAGAACATATTCTGTGAACTTTTTTCTGATAACAAGGCTGATAACGCCTTTTGGTTGGATAGTTCCTCAATTGAGAAAGTCTGTCTTGAAGAGGAAGAATGCACCTTTCAGTTTGGTTCTTTATTTTTATCATTCTTGTGGAAAATGTAGATGAATGTATTTCATTTTCATATTATTATAATATTTTGATGTTATTAAGTGCTTAATCAATGTTAAATATAAATTTCAAAAATTAATTTTGCTTTTAATTAGGTTTAAAATCGAAAAATAAAATAAATGATTTTATCGTACGATCACAAATTACAAAAGTTCAATGCAAAAATAAAATTTCGTCGCTAAACGATATTCGTAGGGGAGTTCGTCGCTAAAGAATTAATAAAAAATTGTCGCTAAATTCGATCATGAATAATGTTAATGGAAAAAGTAAAATTTTTTTATGGCAAATTAGCGACGAATTTTGCCACAAATAAGTTCGTCGTAAATTACTGACCAAATTTTTTTTTTTTGCAAATTAGCGACAAATTTTGCGACGAATAATTAGCGACGAATTTTGCGACGGATAATTAGCGACGAAATGTGCGACTAAATTTGTGACGAAATTTGCGTCGATATTTGCGACGAATTTTGCGACTACATTATTTGCGACGAATTATTTGCGATGAATTTTGCGACGAATTTCGCGACGAATTTCGCGACGAAATTTGCGACGAATTATTTGCGACGAATTTTGCGATGGATAGTGTTCGTGGCTAATTTGCGACGAATTATTTGCGACGAATTTTTGTCCGTCGCAAATTTGCGACGAATTTTTGTCCGTCGCAATCTGACATGGCAATCCAACTTAGCCATCGGACTTGTGTTTGTTGATGTGGTTGTACAAGTCATTGCCAAATCAACAAAAACCGTAAAACTTAAAGACAGAACCAAAATAGGAAAATAAATTAGAAAAAAAGAACATACATGAACTAAAGAGAGGCGGTTCCGTTGAGTGATGTTGTGCGGCTGTGCTCTTTTCTTGATCTCATATCTCCTTTGATGGGCGTCATTAAGTACTAAGTCACATGCTCTATACTCTAAGGGTGTGTTTGTTTGAGTGAAATAAGTTTCCGCGAATTGATTTTCTAGACTTCTACATGCGTCTGGTTTGTTGAAAAGGATTAGTCAACGGAAAACTATTTACGGTCAATGAAAATATGCAAGCTTAAAGTTAGAAAATTGAATTTTCTAACAAGAAATGGGAAAAACACTTTCCTGAAAAATGATTTTCTGGAAAGCATTTCCTTTATCATGAAATTTTTTTTCCGAAATAAACACATTCTAATATGAATTGTTAAAGAGTGAGCATATGTTAGTTAATTCTACGTTCCCTTCAATGTCATAAACATGTGGCAATTGGATTCTAATTACATCCACTTGAGGCTAAGCACGATGCGAATTTCACGCTTGAATGAGGTTAATAAGGTATTTTATGAGTAAATTTACCTAAACTCGACCACACAGGCGAACTCGATGTAGTAAAACCCGACAATGCTCGGAATGAGAACTAAAGAAGATCTTCTAAATACGAACCAAAGAAAGTGACCACGGCGTTTGCTTCTCACCTATGGTTGACACAGGTATTTTTTGTATTTTGTTTTTCTCCTTCTTTCTCACGTCTGATCAGAAATAAGGTAAGCAATGGAGATAGTGATAATATGTTGGAGCATCGACAACAGCTCATGTTGAGTTTGGTCATCAAGAACTGAAGAAGTCAGATGCAATAGATTAGGATTGGATAAAAAATTCCCTCGTATTTCTTATATCCAGTCATAGGGATAATTACCCGAAAAGTCATAAACCTATTATACATATATCAATTTAGTCTTAAACTTTTCAATTTGGCTAAAGTAATCCTAAATCTTTTGATGATTTCTCAATGCAGTCATTCTGGCCGGAAATTGCCAACATAAACATTAGCTACCTTACGTGGTACGGCCAACGCTGACATTGACAATTTTTGCACTTTTGTTTTGAATCTTCTAATTTTTTAATTTTTAAAATCTTTTATGTTCTTTTGTTACTTTTCCTGTTTTGTTGTCAGCTAATGTGATTGTACATGTGGAAATGAATTGGATGCTCCATGGATTTCACCGATGTGGATCTAGTCTTTTGTGCAAAAGCACGCGGACTGTTTGCTGAAGTGTGGAAGCTTGGGGTTTTTTTTGTACCATTCAAGTTTGTTGAGGTGCAATGGAAGTAGTTTACAGTGGTTGATATCTGTACTCCACAGGTCTCTTGATGATTGTATGCCTTACAATCAGATTCAGCAATTTTAAGTGGCTCTCTTAGGCATAGGTGTTCTTGTCCGGCTATCAAAAGGAAAATAGATCCTCCTTTCTGTAATGACACATCAGACTCGTGCTGAATAGAATACCTTGAGCTAGGGTGCGAGCTTTTGACATCAATGAACTTTTACCCTTTGCATGTGGGGAGAGCACCTAAATAATGGGATAGACTTCTGAAATGGTATCATCTGTCTTGACTTTTTTCTAGGCTTCAGATCATGATAACTTTTGTGCGTGATGTCTTTAGCTGTAGAATTAGTATGTTGCCTTTCTTTGGTTCTTAATTTCTTAATTTCTCAATTCTTGTTAATATGGAGTTGATTAATCGAGGGGATGGTTCTTTTTCTTTATTCTTGTGGTAAAGTTATGTGCTCCTTCTTATTCAGCTCAAGGAAACACGGAAATGCTTCATCATTGCATTTTTTTTATTAAATATCTCAGACGGGCTGATCTTGAGTATTTATGTTTTTCCTGACAGGTGGGATCAAGCGGCATAACTTCAAAAGAGGTCTACTGACACACGGGTCCAAGAGCCACAGGCAGTTGGGTTCGATTGGTGCGGGAACAACGCCTGGTCGTGTATATAAGGGGAAGAAGATGATGCCTGGTAGGATGGGAGGATCAAAGAGATAGATTGGGAAGCTTAAGATTGTTAAAATCGATAAAGATCTGAATGTGGTCATGGCCAAAGGCGCCGTTCCTGGAAAGCCCGGAAATCTTTTGCGAATAGCACCCGCCAAGATTGTGGGGAAGAACATTCCTAAGAGTTAGGATTGGCTGCGCTACTTACTTTCTATGTTGGTTTAAATTTTTTCTGCACCAGGTGATAAAACTTTTCAATTGCAGGCTAATTTCTTTGGTTGACGGGATGCCGTTAGATCCATTTAGCATTCATACCCTCAATGAAATGGGGTGGTGAGCGGGACCGACACAGTTTGCTTGATAATGGTGAAGAAAAGAACGATGAAAATGCGATTAATACGCATCTAGAGAAGTTAATCTGTCATAATTAATTGATTTCAGTTGGCGGAGGCCACAAAATACTTGAGAATTCTTCGGTTCTTGAAGTTGGTGGCACATGTACATCCACCATGTTTTTTTTTTTATCGAAATAATTCTTTATTGATAATATTTGGAAAGAGGAGATCCCATAGAGTGGGCATAATTACATAAAAGATCCAAAAGGACCTGAGGGGGGGAAGATAACCAGTAACTTGGCAAGGCTTTTTCTCTATAGCAGCCCAATCTGCAATTGAATTAGGGTGCGAATGACAACCATTATGTTCCAGAAACAATTTCTAAAACAGAAATAAATTTTTCTATTTATGTTCCCAGAACGAGTTTCTGATAAAAGAAACCTGTTTGATAACAACAAAAAATTTCTATTTCTAAAACAGAAACCCGTTTGATAACAGCATAAAATTTCTATTTCCTGAAACATGAACCCGTTTGATAATAACATAAATTTCTATTTCCTGGAATAGAAATCCATTTTTTTAGATACCCTTTTGGGGGTTAAACCCCTTTTAGGGTTTTTTAAGGGTTAAAACCCATTTTAAATCTTTAAACTAAGGAGTTTTCAAAAATACCATTTGGGCACCTCAAAAAATTTAAATTTCACTCAAAGTGAGTGGCCACATGTATTCTAAGCCATCTTTGTGAAGTTTTGAAATTTTTGATTTTTTGATTTTTTTTTAAAAATTCACCAAATTTCTTATTTTCCCGAAATCTGACTTTTTTTATTTTCTGGAAATTTTTATGAATTTTTCTGGAATTTTTCAATTTTTATGGATTTTCTGAATTTTTTTTTTTGAGATTTGTAGAAATTTTCTGGATTTTCTAAATTTTTTTATGAATTTCCTGAATTTTTTTATTTTTTCTGATTTTTCTAATTTTTTTACAATTTTTTTATTTTCCCGTTGGGAATGAACCGGACTGAATCGGTTCAAATTGATCTAACTAGGTCGACCGGGGCCAAATTTAAGAAGAGATGTGTTTTGAAGAGAGAAAACATATTCTTTTAGAAATGATTTTCATTTCTCGTCCAGAAATAAAAAATCTACTTTTTTTTTGTTCTGATTTTTGGTCCAAAACTAGTTTTGGAACAAAAAATTGTTCCATAAATAGAAAAATGGAATTACGTTAGCAAACAGGTTTCTGTTCCAAACCTGTTTCCGGGAATATAAAACTAGTTTTTGAAAGAAATAGAATGGTTATTATTTGCGCCCTTAGCTTAGACATGGCCACGGTTCGGAACAGCGAGTTACAGGTTTGTGGCCATGTATGAACCGAACCGACCGATTCGGGCCGGTTCCGTGCCAGTCCCGGTTCGAAACCGGCGGTAAAAATTACAAAAATAAATTATGAAATAAAAAATAGTGAATTATCAAATTATGAAATAATGAATTATTCAATATAAAATATAATCAAAATGTACATTGTAATCAAATTTGAGAAAAAAAAAGAGTTTCTCCACTTATCTGCAGTTTTTTTTTTTTGGGAACCGGCTGTATCGGGCCGGTTCCAAAATTGTTGGAACCGGAACCGGGCTCGTAGGCCACGGGCCGGTTCCGAACTGCGGACCCGGTCAACGGGCTGGTCCCGGGTTTGACCCGGGCCGAAACCGGCCCATGGCCATGTCTACCTTAGCTTCTCTGAAACAATGGGCTATCCGGATTTTTGAAAATTGGGACGACAGCTCGATACGCTCGGTGATAAGAGCTCGAACTTCCCAAGTGAACTGATACGAGCTCTTTAACTGCACTGGTCTTATCAGATGAAAGTTATCTCCTTCAAACACAATTGCTTCATTCTTTCGGGACTGGAAATATTGAAGAGAGAGGAGCAGAGCCAGGGTTTCCGTCTGCGCGGCCGAAGAAGCT